TCCTGGTGGGCAAACCCCCAACGCACACACACTGGAGGACTGATGGTCAGGGAGCAGGGAGTGAGTCACCGGCAGGACTGGAGGAGGGGAGATGAGTCTCCCGGACTGTGGCTGGTGTCATGTGCTCTCATCACAAGTCCCTCTCACATGCCTATCTTTCCAACCCCACAGAGTTCGGCTGGGGCTGGGGAGACCAGCCGAGCCTCAGGTCATTCCTGCAGTTTGGCCTAATGGCTTCCTTGTGTAAGTCTGGCCTTGGCCTTCAGAATTGCTGAAGGGTCTGCCACAACATGACGGGATGCAGTGCAGCTAGCTAGCCCCGCTCCCCACCAGCACCCAAGTGCCCAGCCTGACAGTGCTGAAGCAGCCTCTTTCACTCACGATTCCCAGCCTGCCTTGTCCCGGAGCTTCCCTGCCCATCTCCACACGCCTGACTATGGCTTGCTGAGGGTGCAGGTTCACCCTATCCTCTGACGTCCTGGTGGTCTGCAGGGCAGGATCACTGGCCCTGTTTTACAGGTGAGGAAACGCAATGCTCTGCAAGAACCCATGCTTGCCAGAGGCCACAGAGCACGTTGCTGCCCCGCTGGTGTCCCCATGCCAGGCTGCTCGGGCCCCTGACATACGGCTACATGTCACTCTGCTAGGTGGCTCCCAGATACAACCAGGCCTCACAGGCCCACAGGCGCTCATTCAACAACTGAGTGTCCTTGAGGAAAGCGGAGAAGGGGATGGACTCGGCCTCTGCTCTCCCATTCCAGCGTGGAAGAGAGACCACCACCAAGAAAACAAGCACGCAACAGAACACCAGATGTGTTCATGTAACGAGGAAACAGCAGCCCCAGCAGGTGGAACCCCACTGCGGGAGATGGGAATCTGGAAAGGATGAGCCTACGCAGGCTCGAGACCCTCCCTCACAATCCGCCTCCTCCAGATCACCTCATCTCCAGGAATCCCCAAACCCTGGGCCCCTGAAGGGCCTGAGGGAGCTCTCACCCTCAGGTAGACACCCCCAACAACTTCCACCCGGGTGGGTCACCACTCTAGCCCCAGGGGTGAGGCTCTGCTGGAGGCGACCCCTGCACTGGGGCGCCCCCAGTGCGGCCTTCTCCTCACCCAGGGGCGCTCCTCCACCCCTGGCCTGGGCAGCACTCCATCGCTAGCACGGCACAACAGCTTCCGGATGACTGAGTCTCCCCAATTCAGACCCGTCAGCATTTCTGTCACCCCTTGGCCTTGGGGTTACGCCACCCTTGCACTAGGTTCACAGCTCAAATGACACCCAACATCACTCCCCAGTTTACCAGATTGATGCCAACGAATCTCCCACCTTTGTTCCAAGACCAAGTAACTCCTCCCTGCAGTCCCCCAGCCCCAGACCCTCTGGCCTCTCACCTGGGTCTCCCCTTACACCCACTTTCTGTACCACAATTCCTCTTCTACACCCTGGCGAACCCTCCACCTCCCACAGCCTCATGGCCAGTGAACCACTCCACTGTCCTCCCCAGCACGGAGCCTATCCCGTGTTCCTTGCTGTTCCCAGGCCCTTGGGTTTTCTGTTCTGCAAATCCCATTGTCCAAACTCACCAACTTCACCAGTGACCCCTCCTCTGCCCAGGCCCAAGATCACCCAACTCCTTACTGCCAGGGCAACTCCTCAAGCCCTCCTCCCAACCAGGATGGACCAATTCTTCCAGTCCAGTTCACGTCATCACTTCTGCAGCTCAGACGCACGGACTCCTCCGGAGTGTGAGTCCCGACCAGGCCTTACTGCCCCTCTCTCAACCGCTGGAATGAGAGACTCCCCCCGCCTGGAGAGTGTTACCTGCTCTACCCCTTACCCAGGATAGACCAACCGGCACCCCTCCTCTAAACTCCTCTCAGCCAGGCTCCAACTGCCCCTCTTTTCTTGACAGACAGCCTTCTGACTCTCCAATTCTTTCACTGTCTCTTCGAGACTGCACGTGAAAACAGACAAACACACAAGCAAAAAACAAATCTGCCTGGATGATAGCTGCTATTTATGTGGCAGAAATTTATGAGGACTATCTTACTTCATCCTCACAACTACCCCATGGTAAAAAGTAGCACCTCCATTTGCAAAGAAAGAAACAGAGACTTGGAGAGGAAAAGTGGTTTTCTGAATGAAAGCCAAACCTTTTCTGGGAAACTGCGGACCAGGAACTTTACCCCCCAATGCCCAATCTGTGCCAGACTCTCTTGCTGCCCTCACCCCTGACCCTTCAGCCCACAAACTGACCATCTTCCTCCTCACCCCTCACTCCAGGCCCATGCACTGACTGCCGGCTCTCTTCTCTCCTGGAAGCCTCTGAAGCAGCCACATCCAGGCCCCACCCTATGCATGAACTCCTCTACACCAGCCTAAGATGACCAACACTGTCTTAATAACAATGACTGCCATCAAGAACGCTCACCCTATCTGATTCCTTTCCATATGTGACCTCATCCAGTCCTTGCCTAAATTCCGTGGCAAGAGTATTGCCACCTACTTCACAGACGGGAAGACTGAGGCTCAGAAGTCAGGTAACCAGTCCGAGGTCTCGAAGGACCTGACCTGGAGCCTCTGCTTTTGAAACACCCTGCTCTGCCTCTCCAGGTCTTCCCGGTTCCTGCTCTGACTGGATACCACGCTATAGCCAGGGGCCATTCTGACTGTGGCCCGGTCCCAAACTAACCACCTATGCCTGGGGCCCAGAGCCCAAGGAGTTGGCTGGCTCCCAGTGACAAAAGTCTTTTTTTTTTTTTTTTTTTAAGATAGGGTCTTTGTCACCCAGGCTGCAGTTCAGTGATGCAATCACAGTTTACTGCACTGTTGACCTCCCGGGCTCAAGTGATCCTCCCACTTCAGCCTCCTGAGTAGCTGGGATTACAGGCATGTACCACCACACCTGGCTAATTTTTGTATATTTTGTAGAGGCACGGTTTCACCTTGTTGCCCAAGCTGGTCTTGAACTCCTGGGCTCAGGTGATCCGCCTACCTTGGCCTGACAAAGGGCTGGGGTTACAGGCATGAACCATGGCGCCCGGCCCAAAAGTCTTACTTTAACCACTGTCTCTTTAAGAGTAACTAGCCAGCTGGACACGGTGGCACATGCCTGTAATCCCAGCACTTTGGAAGGCTGAAGTGGGCAGATCACCTGAGGTCAAGAGTTCGAGACCAGCCTGGCTAACTTGGTGAAACCCCATCTCTACTAAAAATACAGACATTTTTAGCCAGGTGTGATGACAGGTGCCTGTAATCCCAGATACTCAGGACGCTGAGGCAGGAGAATCAGCCTAAGCAACAGAGGGAGACTCCGTCTAAAAAATAATAATAATAAGTAGTAATAAGTAGCCAAACTGTCATTCATGATGGACTCACTGTGTGTTCGGTTTCCAGTTACCATGTTTCCCACTCTCACATCAAAGCCACCAATTCCTCCACTGTCCACAGACTGGCAACTGTTTCTCCCCTTAGGCAGGGCTGGCAGATCAGCTTCTACAGAACCATGACCAGTCTGATCCCTCACTTCATGGGCTCCACCCCAGGAGGACTGATAGACTTCTCCAGCATGAAATGGACTCAACACTGCCCTGCATGTCCCAAGCGACTTTCCACCTTCCCAGCCCTATGACTCCAACACACTCTTTTCAGCTCCAACACTCACCTGACCCTCTCCAGTGGGCCGGCCCCCTCTCCCAACACTTCAAGCCGCCAAACTTCCTCAGTTCTCTCACCTGCTACTGGCCAGCAACTCCAATTCCTGACTTGACAACATCCCCCAATTCTTTTTTTTTCTTTCTTTGAGATGGAGTTTTGCTCTTGTCACCCAGGCTGTACAAGGTCATGATCTTAGCTCACTGCAACCTCCACCTCCTGAGTTCAAGCGATTCTCCCTGCCTCAGTCTCCTGAGTAGATGGGATGACAGGCGAGCACCACCATGCCCGGCCGGTTTTTGTATTTTTGGTAGAGACGGGGTTTCCCCATGTTGGCCAGGCTGGTTTTAAACTCCTGACCTTAGGTGATCCACCCATCTTGGCCTCCCAAAGTGCTGGGATTACACGCGTGAGCCAATGCACCCGGCCATCCCCCAATTCTTTCTCAGGAAGGAACAAGAGGACCCTTCCGTAGCCATGCCCCAAACATCTTCTGCTCCTGAATGACTGAGAACCTTCCTTCTGCTTCTCTTTTTGTTGGAAGAGGAGGCGGCGGTAGGCGTTGGCTTTTCTTCTTAATACCACATTGCAGCCGGGGGCGGTGGCTCACACCTGTAATCCCAACACTCTGGGAGGCCAAGGAGGGAGGATAGCTTGAACCCAGAAGTTCGAGACCAGCCTGGGCAATGTAGTAAGACCTCCTCTCAATAAAAATGAACACATAAAAACCACACTGCCTCTGACTCAACCAACCACAAATGGACCACCACCTGTGCTTCTCTTCTGAGACCTTACCTTGACTCCCTTTTCACCAAATCTTCTATAGCCACAGTCCAAGTTTATATTTCTCCCTCTTTCCAGCCAGGAAAGTGGCCAACACGACCACTCCTTGACCCGAGACTTGCAGACCAGCAACTGAACTTCTTTTTTACCCCCACAGACCCATCAAACTCTTTCAACTGCCCTTTTGAGGCCAGCGTTGACCCGCTCCTCCTCCCGACTGCTCTTTCTCTCCTTCTCTGGTGGAACTACGAACGCAAAGGCTGCCACACTCTACATCTAACAAATCACCAAACTTTAATTGCTCATCGTTTTAAACCCTAAAACGATCACCATCTTTGTCTCGGGTGGGTGGGGTGCGGCAGAAAGCACATACTTTTCACCTTCCCAACTCCATAGTCACCCCCTCTCTAACAGACTCCGGTTCTAAACTGACGACTGTCCCCTTATTCACCATTAGGTGCAATCTATTGAACGCCACCTCTGAGCCGGGCCCTGCACCGATCCCTCCCGACTCCCGGGTCCCCCTCGAGCCCGCCCCCGCTTCACCCGCGGTAGCTACCATGTCTCCAGGGGTCTTTGGGCTCCACTGCTCCAGACACGATATCCTCGTCGGACGGGAACGTGACGCGCTTGGCTGCAGCCTTGAGGCGCCCATCGGCGGGGGGCGATGCGGGGCTGGGAGACCCGGCCTCGGCGGGGGCCTCTTCAACGTCGCCGTCCGCGCCCGGCACGGGCGGCGCCTCCTGCGGCGGGATCTCCATAGCCGCCGCCGCCTCCTCACGGGGGCCCCGGGGACATGCCCCGGGCCCCGGATTTGTCTCTCCGGGCCCGCCCGCCGTCCCGGGGCATGGGCTCCGCCACTGCTTCAGGCGCCGCCTCCGTCCGCTCTCCTAGTCGTCGTAATCGTCGCCGCCGGGAGCCCAAGCGCGCCTCCGCCGAGCCCCGCGCGCGCCTGCCCGTTCGCAGTCACACTTTCGCTCTAGGCTGGCGAGCCCGCCGCTTACTATAAGAAGCAGAAAATCGATTTCAGCGACTTGCAGGTAGAGTTGTCCCGCGGGTGACATGAAGAGAGAAACAAAGGGCAGGAAGGGCCACGGAAAAAAGAAACGTGAGCAGCGAATCTGCAGAGCCGGAACTGCAGACTATGAGGGGCGGGGCGAGATAGACGCCGTCTCCAAGAGCAGCGCGCAAGCGCGAAACTGAGCCCACGCCTCCCCGCCTGAGTCCAGATGACAAATATTCAGCTCCCGCACATTCGTCAAGAGCCCAGGGAAATGGAGTGCTTAGAAATGAAAACACCTGGCGGGGCGCGGCGGCTCACGCCTATAATCCCAGCACTTTGGGAGCTGAGGCAGGAAGATCGCGTGAGTCCGGAGTTCGAGACCAGCCTGGGCAACATAGCGAGGCCCCGTCTCTACAAAAAATTTAAAAATTAGCAGGGTCTGGTTACGGGAGACTGTAGTTCCAGCTACTTGGGAGGTGGGAAGATCACTTGAGCCCGGCAGGTTGACGCTGCACTGATCGCGCCCCTGCACTACGACCTGGTAGACATAGCGAGACCCTGTCTCAACGAAAGGAAAGAAATGGGCCGGGCGCGGGGGCTCACGCCTGCAATCCCAGCACTTCGGGAGGCCAAGGCGGGCGGAACACGAGGTCAGAAGATCGAGACCATCCTGGCTAACACGGTGAAACCCCGTCTCTACTAAAATTACAAAAAATTAGCCAGGCGTGGTGGCGGTCGCCTGTAGTCCCAGCTACTCGGGAGGCTGAGGCAGGAGAATGGCGTGAACCCGGGAGACGACGGAGCTTGCAGTGAGCCGAGATTGTGCCACTGCACTCCGGTCTGGGCGACAGAGCAAGACGCTGTCTCAAAAAAAAAAAAAAAAAAAAAAGGAAAGAATGAAAACACTGAGGTTAGACTAACTGATGAAGAGCGGTAACGACATAAAGAAGTCGAAAAGAAAGGCGGATAGGAGCTGCATTCAATATATGAGTACAGCTGATGGATGCTGACAGAGAGGGTTCCTCTGGAGACGAAGCCTCGGCCTCTTCGGTAGTCTCCAGTCTTCCATTTGCTCGCTGCAGTTACATCAACAGCTCTCTGTATAGGGGTAGTTGCATAAAATACAACTTAAATCACAATACTAAAATAAATATGAGCCCATGAGCAATGCTAAAATAAATACGAGCCCATGAACGGTATCATAGGCCTGATTTTAAAAAACAAAATCTAGGAGAAGATAGAAATTCCAAAGGCGAGAGACGAATCTGCCAACCCAAATCCTGGGTGACAAGGCTGGTGGGTCACCGAGGCAAGAACAAACCAGCGCGAGCTCAAGCCACACCCCTAGGCTCAGACCCAACGCTTGACATTCGCCGCCGCACTTTCGCCACGCTTTCCCAAGCGCACCCGGCAAACTGAAGGAGGCGGGGCTGAAACCATAAAAGGGGACTGCGCGGAGCGAGCCGCGTCGTCGCCAAGGCAACTCGAGAGCTAGGCGTAGCGAACCGACTGAAGGCAACTGAGGTTGCTCCTGGCGCGGTTCATCATCGGCCGCCGCACTTTCGCGACTGAGACAAAACGACGCTCACCTTTACTTAATGGAAGGCTTCGCTTACATCCTGAATTTAAGGGAACTACAGAAGGGGACAGAAACTGCTTTCTTTTTAAACAATGCCCTGAAAGGTTACTAGTGACAGGGGGCTTAGTGAAGCGCGTGATGTGAACGGCCAAGCTACAAGGCTGGAGAGAAAAGAGGAGGGGGATGAAGTTGCACCCTGATCGCGATTCCTCGGCCTTTTGTCAGGGGCGCCGCCACTCGGGATCCGACCATTCGCCTCCAACGAGGGGACAGCGAATCTGCTGTCGTGTGCAGTCCACAGCAACCACAGGTGGGGCAACAGGAGGAGTGCTTGGGCACGACCACGTGACCCAACACGAGCCACCGCCCGCCCCAAAATGAAATCAAATCCTAATCTCCCAATCCCGGCATTCCGGTCACTCCAGCATTTCCAGGAGACTTGCGACCCTGCAGCCCCTACACCTTTATCTGGGCTCCTGTCCTACTTGGCCCAGCTCCACTGGATTCAGCCCTGGGATAACCACCCTACCAGCTCCTAAAGATTATTCCATCCCCGTGGGTATACTTAATTAAAGAAAGAAAAACAGGAGTCGAATTTTCCTGGGGTAACTGGTTCTTTAGCAGGAGAGGAGCCCCGGGGGGTATCTTCAGGGTGGCTGAACTTTGCAGCCTCTTTAATAACGCCCCGCTGTGCAGGTTGTCTCCTTTATCACCCCACCCCGATGCCCTGGTCTTCAAGAAATGGCAGCAGGCCCATCTTTCTGTAGGGTTCAGAGTTCTGTGAGGTAGAGCATTCCTTCCAGTGGGATCTTAGAATTCCTAGAGTTGCAGAATTTTACTGACTAGACCCAGGAGGTCTCAGGAGTCCAGACTTGCTTAAAGCTTGGCTGAAAATTCCAAGGGAGCTCATAACTCCGTGGGGCCCAGAGTTCCTGGCTCAGGAACATTGGGAGGCCTGGGATACAGTGGCTCAGCCTCAAGCAGAAAAGTGAACACAATGTCTCTATGGCTTGAAGGTGTATGAAATAATGTCACTACATCGGAGCAGCGCCTCTGCTTGCACACCTATGGGAGTCTGCAGCTGTGACACGTAGAAGTTGGCCACATCCAGGTCGGTGGCTCCGAAGTGGGCGGCCACACGCACACCCTCGTGCAACGTGAAGCTCACCTGACGACCCACCATGGCCAGCAGGCTGCGGAGGTAACGCTCCCGAAGGGCGGCTCGGGCCCGCTGCTCCTGGAATTCCAGGGATTCTTGAGCTATGGGACACTCCTGGATTTCAGGAACCTCTGGCCTCAGGGGGGCTCTGCGTCCATCAGGGGCAAAGCCACGGCTGAAGCCATCAGGGCCCCGGGGCAGCCGGAGCACAGGTACAGGAATGGTCACTGGAGTTTGCATTGTCTTGGCTGTTGAGTGAAGAAAAAGGGCAGGAAGTCATTACATGGTAAGCAAGGGGCTAATGGAGGAGGGAGGAGTGGAAGCAGAGGCTGGTCTACCTAGGCAGCTCCACTTCACCTGTCCCAAACCGATCCACCTCGCTAAAATCTGTGCCATCAATCCCCAGTGGCTTGGATCAGAAACAAAGTGTCACATGCACAAAAACATGAGCCCCATGAAGGTAAAGACCTTTGTCTGCTTTTAAAACAGCTTTATCTCAACTTCCAGGCAATAAATATTTGCCAAAAGATGAACCCGGCCAGGCATGGTGGCTCATGCCTGTAATCCCAGCACTTTGGGAGGCCAAGGCAGGAGGATCACTTTGAAGCCGGGAGTTTGAGACCAGGCTGGGCAATATAGTGAAATCACATTTCTACAAAACAAAAAAAATTATTTTACATTAGTTGGGCTACTCAGGAGGCTGAGGGAGAAGGATTAGTTGAGCCCAGGAGATGGAGACTGCAGTGAGCCGTAATCGTGCAACTGCACTCCAGCTTGGGTGACAGAGTGAGACGCTGTCTCTTAAAAAAAAGAACAAACCCCACCTTTCTCTCACACACAACCCATCCAATCCATCAGGAAATTCTATATTCTAGATAGACTCCCACTCACACAGGAGCTAGCTTGAAAGGTCTCCAAGTGGCCAAATCTGGAATTATTTGAATACAATAATGATAGTGACAGATTATAACCCACTGGGTAAAACAGAAATCCATAATCCATACTGATAATAAATAAATGAATAAGGAAGAGAAGAAAAATATAATCCTTACTGTAGACTGGCAAGTAAATAAATATAAAAGGAATAGATGTAAAAATGTGTGGATAGGGCCGGGTGCAGTGGCTCACACCTGTAATCCCAGAACTTTGGGAGGCCAAGGTGGGCGAATCACTTGAGGTCAGGAATTCCAGACCAGCCTGGCCAACATGCTGGTAGAGGCGAAACGCCGCCTCTACCAAAAATACAAAAATTAGCTGGGTGTGGTGGCATGTGCCTGTAGTCCCAGCTACTTGGGAGGTTAAGGCAGGAGAATCATTTGAACCCAAAAGGCAGAGGCTGCAGTGGGCGGAGATCGCACCACAGCACTCCAGCCTGGGTGACAGAGTGAGACTCTGTGTTTAAAAAAAAAAAAAAAAAAAAAAAAACACAGATGGGAGTTAGATGAAGTATAAGGTAGCTACATAATACTAACAGACTCATAAGATATCCATTCACTGTAAGGGGCAAACACAAATTTATAGTGGAGGAACCTGGTACGCACCCCCTTAACTTAGTGATCAAAGCCAACATCTCCAGGAATGGGACACTAAGAAGGACAGGGCACCACTTCTGTGTTATTCCTTTTTTTCTTCTTAAAGAGACAGGGTCTCACTATGTTGCCGAGGCTGTTCTCCAACTCCTGGCCTCAAGTGATCTTCCAGCCTCTGGGCCAAACAAGGACAACGGGGACAGGCATGGTGGCTCACACCTATAATCCCAGCACTTCGGGAGGCCGAGGTGAGAGGATTGCTTGCGTTCAGGAGTTCAAGACCAGCCTGGGCAACATGGTAAGACCTTGTCTCTACTAAAAATAAAAACTATTAGCCAGGCATGACAATGTACTCATGTAAGTCCCAGCTACTCAGAAGACTGAGGTAAGAGAATCACTGGAGCCCTGGAAGGTTGAAGCTGCAATGAGCTATGATCGCGCCACTGCTACTGCACTCCATGCCTTGGGGCAAGAGGTGAGATCTTTTGTCTTAGGAAAGAAACAAAAACAGCCCAACTAACCTTGGCTTTTCAAAAATATTAAAGTCAGGCCAGGGCACGGTGGCTCACGCCTTGTAATCCCAGCACTTCGGGGAGGCCAAGGCGGTCTGGATCACGAGGTCAGGGATCGAGCCATTCTTGGCTAACACAAGGTGAAACCCCGCGTGCTACAAAAATACAAAAATTAGTACGGGGTTGTGGCGGGCCTGTAATCCCAGCTACTATCAGGGAGGCTTAAGGCAGTCGAAAGGGCGTGAAACCCGGAGTGGAGCTGCAGTGAAGCGCCGTAATTGCACCAACA